CAACGCCTTAAAGCTAGGAAAATCATCAAAATCCAACCCGGACACGCATCAAATGCGTGTCTAAATACGGACTTATCACCCAACGCCGCCCAGAACCACCAACACTTGACTTCACCGCCTCCACTCGTCGCAGATCCGAGATGGAGATGAAGAAGGGAGAAGAAAACGATTTAGGCGGCGGAGATGGCAATGCGATTTGCACACGCGGCAATGGGAGAAGATGGAGATGACAGAGAGTTTGCTGGGAGACGAGCGGCGAGCAGAGATTTGTAAATCTGCGGCGATGGGCGAACTGCAGCGATGAATAGATGGAGCTAGAGGATTTAGAGGCGGCCGTCCCTGGTGGCCGGCATAGGCGAGGCGTAGATCTGGTCGGCGAAGCGGCGCGGAGATCTGACGGCAAATGAGCTTGTGCGAAAGTATTCAAAGCTGTGCAACCTGTACGGCGAAGGAGCTTGTCCTGGACGGAAGTCCTGTGCGTAAGTTGAAAGGGAAGTGAGGGATATGTTGAAGGAGTTAGTTTTGTGGGATTTTTTAAAATGGTTATAATTTGGTCTAAGATAAGCTGAGAAGTAATATTGAGGCCATTATTTCTAATCTAAACCTGAGAGTTATCTTAATTGTAGTTTAATGATGCGACTTAGGATGTTTTCATTTGGACTGAAATTTGCTGGTCTAATCTGATCTGGTCTGGTCTGGTCTGGTCTAAACTGGTCTGGTTTTGTCTCGTAAATGTCTGGTCTGTGTGTATTGTATAACTGCGGAAGTCAAGTCTAGTCTGGTCTGATTTGACCTGGAACTGAAATAGTCCAAAAGAAAACGTCCTTACTTTTTTAAGTCCCGTAACTAGCTTCCTTCAAAACAACAAGTCCTATAATTAACTAGCTTGTAAGCTCAGCAATTTAATCTGGAAAAACTTTCCACTTCGGCACAATATTATGGCATTAAACGCAAAGCGTGTGTGGTGAAGCATTAACGTGAGTAGACTAACAAAAATGCATGCAATCATTTGTGTCCATAAGTTGTCCGACATAACAGGTTTTATAATCCATATGTTAGTTATTTTTCCATAAGGCTGGTTGCAACTCGCTCAGGTAATAAACTTAATTGTATCTTCCAACTACGTAGTTTATATGTGTATATTCTCAATTAAGTTTTTCCTTACAAAGCTACAATTCAACACCCTTAATATCTTCTCTTAGTGCCCGTTCTTAATTAAGTCCCAACTTTTATTATTATAAATCAACTTTTTGTCAATCTTTTTGGGAAAAAGTCGGGGTTTACTTTTTTGTTGTTACTTGAGATCTATTTTTTAAACAATAATTGAAAAATGTAAAAAGATGTTACCTCCGTCCCACATTGGTTGTCCACTTTTAATTTGACACGATTATTAATAAGTGGTTGAAAAGTAAAGGTTGTTGTTGAGATTTGAGTAGAATAACGTGAGATGATAAGAACCACATATTTCTTGCCAAAAAAAACAAGACATTCATTTTGGGACAATAGAAAAAGAAAGTAGGACAACCAAAATGAGACGGAGGGATATTAATCATGAAATCTTAATTTTAACACATGGATGATGAATCTACTCAAGAAGAATTTTGGACCTAAAGACATCTACTCGTTGAAACCCCATGTTTTTTTGGTAAACTTTATATTTGCAATATTAATACCATAAGAAAGATCATAAAATATTACTCCGCATGAATTGTGATATACTCCATCCGTGCCATTTAGACCTGTTCAGTTTTCTTTATGGGATATTTCATTTAAATCTTTTATGTTTCAGGTAACTCTTTTTATATTAAATGACCTAACAACCCGTCATTACCCACCCACTTTTTACATTTGATTAGATGACATTAGTTAATAATTACCTCCAAAATCTTACAGACATGAAAGACATTTATTTTTTTTATTAATAGAACTCCTAGAACACCATGCCGAATGCAAACATCAAGATTCAATTTCAAAAAATGAATACAAACGGAAACAAAAGAGTTATAACACATTTCGCAAAAGAGAATTTCCTTTCTAGGTCCCTTGCCCATTGCTTTTTTTGGGAACAATTCTCATTTCCTTCTTCCAGCAGCCGGGTGATTCGGAATACCAACCCCCCACCGATGCCATACACTTACTACCTCCGTCCCAATGGACCTTGCACTCATTGAGTTAGGTGAGAAATAAGAATAGTAAAAATTGTGTGGTTGGAGATTGTGCAGAGGAGAGAGAAATGAGCAGAATCACAGAATAGTTACTTTAATGGGAAAGTGACAAAGTTTTTTGGTACAACAAAAAAAGGAAACTTGACAAAGTCCAATGGGACGGAGGGAGTATTTTTTAGTGGGTTGGAGTACGTGTTGCACAACTTTTGAGATGAAAAGATAAAGAATAGATCAGATTTTTCAGCCACCTGAGAATGCAACAAACATCAAAAGGCTTCCTCATCATCGTTTAATCATTTTACAATTTCAAGTATCAATGGAGTCAAATAGTAATTCATATGGAAATATAGAAATTGCCACGTATAGAGACAATTCTGTCTGTATGATAGACAATGTGTGTCAAAGATCTCCCAAAAAATGTATACCAAACATTTTCAAAATATATTGATAACATTTGTTATTGTTAGGCAGTATTTAATAATAGTGTCAATAGTTAGGTTGTATATCCCATGGTACATAACACAATCAGTGGCGGATCTATCACTTACATTTTGGGTGTTTGAAATCACATTAAAATCACAATTTCAAATGATAGTATGGAGCATCAATTTATGCAAGAATTATGCACTTTTGTCATTCCAATAAAAACTACTAAATGGTCAACAAATTATGCACTTATCACACCTCTGGAGAGAATTTTTCACACACACATTTCAGCAGGGGAAAAGAAAACTAGTTGAAATACTAGACATTAGGAAATTATTATAAGCAACTCCAAAATCTGAAATAAGCAATTTTCTTCAAGCAGCAGACCAACAACACTATAGTCCGCACTAAGGCACTAGTATTAGAATTTTGCCAAAGTCTGGCGGTTTCTCTTTTTCATTGTGCCCCCTCCAAATTCTTCTTCCAGAGAGGTATAGGCCGGCACCCCCTATAGGAATAGGAAAAAATAGAATGTTCTCCTTCTACCTGCAGCCCCATTTGAAAAGTGCGTTTGGACAATATCTCACGATCGCTTGGACCAACAATCACATATCAGCCTAGCTTTCTATCACTGGACATAATAAGTAGTCATGTATAGGTACTCATTTTTGAAAATTCAGGGTGTTCAGGTGAACACTCTTGAACAGCAGTGGAACCGCCACTGAGGGAGTGTTTTTGTTTGCTTAAAAAAAGCACTTTGGAGCTTTTAGATTAAAAAAAGCAATTCTAAGTGTTTGGTAACCCCAACTTTGACTTAAAAAAAGTGTTTTAAACTCAAAATCTAAAAGCTACCCCAGCCCAGCTTTTAATAGCTTCTAGGTAAAGTTGTAAATACCCCCAACTTTATGACTAATGATAATGGCAAATAAATCCCCAAACCCCCCAAAATAACCCTCAAATAACTACGATCTACCCCAGCCACGCTCGTTCCATCTTCTCTCCCATGTCGGCGCCATTTGAACGCAGTGAAGAAGAGGTCTCCAAAATCCGGGAAACAAAAGCTTCGCTGAGACTTGGGGAGCTGGGGCTGGAGGAGTTGCGATTTGAGGAGCTACGATGATTTCTGATTTCCGATTTGAGGAGCTGCGATTTGAGGAGCTACGATGATTTCTGATTTCCGATTTGAGGAGCTGCGATTTGAGGAGCTGCGTTAACCCTACGTGGGAAATGTTAAAAAAGGGTATTTTTGTACTTTTCATTAAAATATACCATCACAATCACTTTTTTTATCAAACACTCCAACTTTTCCATTTTAATTGGAATCACTTTTTTTCCCAAACACTACCAACTTTTACTCCAAATCACTTTTCCAATAATCTCTTAAAAAAATCACTTTTAAAAAGCACAAGCAATCGCAAACACTCCCTGAGTTACACAACACATACAAGTCAATTAATGGGATCAGATAGGCAATTATGAGGGTTTTGGATTTGATTCTTAAAACTTATTCTGCTCCTTCAGTAAGTAGAAGCAGAAACTAGAGTGTTTGAATGAAAATGTAGAAGTGATTTTGGTACTCTAATTTAATTCTAAAAAGTTTTTTTAGAAGTTGGGGAGGACAAACTTCTGAAAACTGATTCTGATTCTGCTTCTGCTTTAAAAAATAAGCAGACAACAGAATCGAATCACCCCTTATATTCATTAGGGAGCTGAGAATATTGATTTGGTGATATAAACAAGGGAGATTTTCATTTAGTAACATGAGGTCCACCTTTAGATTTTTCAAGCATTTATAATTGCATGTTCATTATTTCTTTCGCATAATGATGTACGAAAGTTAAAGAAATGTGAATCATAGCTAGATTTTACGTACGTAGTGATATAAATTAAAATGCTTTTGATGAGTCGTGTAAGAATTAAATTCAAAGTCCGACGAAGTAATAGTTTCAACTTTCAAGTAAAAAATCTCTATTTTTGGTTTCTTGTTCATTGCGTACCTTATTATAAATATTGGTACACATCTATTAATTACAATGAATTATCCAACCTAGATGTCCATATATTACCATTCAAAGCAAGACCGGCCACCCCAATGAATTAAAGTAGCACTAAAAATAATTTAGAGAAAAACACGAAGGAAATTGCATTGGAATATTATTAGTTGGGATGTGTGATAGAACTTGAATCTTAACTTGATGACTGTCCCATTTTAATGAGGAGAGGAAGCTGAAGAATATAGTGTCGCACAATTTAGCCAGGCCCCTCGACAATGCTTGAAATTTTAGAAGCTAATTGGGTAATATGATACAAAAACAAGAATTATTGAGGTACTAAATTATTCTTCCTGATAATAACACTACCACATTTTAGGGATACAGCAACACCAATTCTTTTCATTGCCGTGAAAGTGTTTCCTTAGGTTTACATTGACTGCATTTTTTTATAATGTTGCTAAAGTTTAAAAAATCATCTTATTTTTAATTGCCTCACTAAAAGACGGTTCTAAAACTTCAGTGGGCAACGGTTTTTATTTTTTGTTGTTTCCCCACACTTCAAAACTGTGGTCACTTACTCTATTACTCCGCAAGTTTTTTATTATTAGAACCGTTCGGGTATCCTTTTAACCCATCTGTCTGCCTAAGCCATGAAGACGCCGCCGCTGCTCCAGCCTCTAGACAACTTCGAAGAAGACGACACCACTGTTCAGGGGCGGAGCTAGGGGGTGGCCACCCCTGGCCCTGGCCCAGCCTAAATTTTAAAAATCTCTATATTTTTAGTGTAAAAAAATTCGTTTGAAATTTTTTCCAAAAATATTCTTTGTACCGGCCCAGTCCGGCCCAGTGTCCTGGCTCCGCCCCTGCCACTGTTGCTCCCGATGAATTCGACGAAGTCGACGCCGCTGCTATTCCCCACAACTTCGAAGAAGACGGCGCCCCTGCTCCCGAAGATGGTGTCCGCTGCTGCTTCAGGTTAACAGATGAAGACGTGCTGCCCTCCATTAACACTCTGTTGGGGAAAAACACGATCCCCGGGTCTTTTCCATGATCACGAGCTCAAAGGATTCTTGTACATTCACCCACTCACTCATAACACAAAGATTCAATCTAACAATATCACATTGTATTATACAATTGAAATGTACAAGAGATATTTTACAAGTAAAACGAGTAGTTCACATCACTCTTTGCGTATGGGACTACTTCACTCTCACTCTCCTATCTCAAGGAGGCTCTCCCTCAGTCACGAGCTCTCCTTGAGGCTCCTCTCTTACATCCCTCAAGGAGGCTCTCTCTCTCTAGGCCCTCACTCACATGGCTCTCCTAAGCTCTCTCACTCTTGAGGCTCACTCATGGCTCTCAATGTACAAGAATCCTTTGAGCTGGTGATCCTGGTGAAGGTCGGGGATCGCGTTTTGCCCAACACACTCGACACACCGCTCTGTATCATTGATGCTCCAATTGACATGTTTTCTTTTACTCACTTTTTCAATTTTGATGTATTCAAAGATGTACTCCTCTATGTCACTATCACGGTCTCAATTCCTATAAAGGCTATGTTGGACAAGTCACATGAGCTCAAAAAGTGCTGAAATATTTAAAATCCAGTCAATTATTATACAATTAGTGTTGTTTGGATAGAAGGTTGACATGAGCTTAAACTGGAAAAACCAAACTGAATAAAAACGCTTATAGAAGCAACATTTCCATTCAGATGGTCCTTGCTTTCCCATGTTAGCCCCAACGATCGTGGTAGCACCCAAATCAACGATGTTGTGCATACTTTCCTTATCCCAAATCAACGATGTAGTATATTATACAAGTACTATATATTATGTACTACCTTCGTCCCATATTTACATTTTATGTGTCTCACTTTTGCTTGACACAATTTTTATTAAAGTGGATGAAAAAGTAAAAGTTATGGTTAAGATTTGACTATAATAAAGTGAAATGACGTAAGCCACATATTTCTTTCCAAAAGAGAAAATATGACACTTATTTTAGGACAATTCAAAAGGGAAAGTAGGACATGTAGGATGTTTTCTTTTGGACTGTTTCAGTCCCAGACCAAACCAGACCAGACTTAAACAGACCAGACCAGACAACTCGGTCTGATAATAAACTTAATTCCCAATTTATTTGTATGAAATTTGTATATTTAGTCACTAAATTAAGTTTTTCCTCTACAAAGCTACAATTCAACATGATTAATATACTTACCCAGTGCCTGCAATTTTTTGATTAAATCCTAAATTTTATTATTATAGAGCATTTTTTGCTATTTATGCGAAAAAAGTGAAGGCTTCGTTTTTTTATTACTTTAGATCTATTTTTAGAAAAAATATTTGAAAGATATAAAAAATTATGAACCATTGTCAAGATCTTAATTTTAGCACTCGGATCTACATAATTAAAATTTAATTCTAAAACATTTACCAATTGAAACTTCACATTTTTTGTAAAAATTTATGTACTACCTCCGTTCTCTTTTAAATGCAACGTTGGACTTTTTGCACTATTCACATGTTCTACTTTGACTACGTTTTATTTATTAATGTAATAATATATATTTTTGAAAAAAATATTATTAAATTTTTCTCATTATAAATTTTCAAAATCTATTTTTTAAACTTTTTTTACTAATCGGGAATTATATATATTAATAGTCAAAGTTGTGCCTCGGCAAATGTGAAATGTTGACTGTTGCATTTATTTAAGAACGGAGGAAGTATGTAATATTGGGGCATGTAACCTGTGTTGCTTTTGTCATTTCCTTCATTTAGCAGCCAGGTGAATGCTGAATAGATGTGCATACCCCATTACCCCCCACCACCCGATGTCATACATATACAGTTATACACCTAATTTGGTACCTTTTTTTTTTTTTTGGTGGGGTGAGCCAGGCCCAAGCACTAGTGCAATGCTCATGCGACTCTCGAAAGCCCAAACAGCAAGCTGCCTTAATGGACTTTCCCCCTTAAAAAATAGAGTTAATATCGTGTGGGCTAGCTCTAGTAGCCCACATATAAGATATTAAGTTGATAAGAACATATACTACACTTGATCTTAGCCAAAAGGCCGAGAAAGTAAGGTATAATTTGGTACCTTGTATACATCTATATATATACTCCCTCCGTCCCGCTATGAGTGTCCCATTTTATCTTTTCGGTCCGTCCCACTAAGTTTGTCGCATACCTTATTTGGTAAATTTTGTGTGGTTCTAAATCATTCTTACTTTATTCTTACTTTATTAATTCAATATCAACCACATAAATCCACTTTTATTAATAACCGTGCCAATTTCTCTTGTCCCAAACTTAGGGGGACGGAGGGTAGTATTAGTTTTCTACTACTTCGTATTTATTTACTTGTGATTAAAATCATATTTATATTTTTCAGTTAATTGTCTCGGTGCAGGGGACCTCAGGGATAAAGTGTAATCTTTTTTTCTATACATTTTTAGTCGGTTATTGACATAAAGCTTATGCCAATACTTAAGTTAATACGGAGTACTACAATAAAGCTTATTGACACAAATATGACCAAGAGTTAATAAAATGTAGTGTCGTGCAGTGATAACTTAAGTTTAAAACTTGAACATAAGTTACTGCAATTCCATCGGGCTTTTTACTTCAATATTACCTAATTGAAGCTAATTTCCAAAAAAGTGACCATTTTATAAAAAGACAAAAATGTGACTAAGGTCACATATATAGAAAAATATGATGTCATTGTTTTTTATGTCACTGACAAATTTGTATGTCACTATTGTATGTCACTAACGTTTTTTATGTCACTTTCAATGTCACTATCATCGTTGAAAAATTTTCCGGGAACTTTTTTCCGGTGAAACAGTACACCACTGGCGGCGCTCCCGTCGGCCATAGTTTTCATGTCACTGCGATTTTTTTGTGTCCTTATGATTTGTCACTGTAGTTTTTTGTGTCACTTTTGAATGTCACTGTCATCAAAAACACGTTTCTGCTCAGTTAAATTGTTTCCACCAACACTGCGGCCTATGAGCCGACATCCCTACCCCAATTCCCAGCCCCCGCACACCCGACAACCGCCACCGATGACAACCGCCGCCCTAACCATACCAGCCCCCTCTCTTGCCCACCAACCCCCTCCCCAGCTGCTACCAGCCCCCTCCCTATCCCATCAGCCTCCTCCCCCTCCCACCAGCCTCTCCCCAGCCTCGCTCAGCAGCCCCATCCCCCATCTCACCAGCCCCATTAGCAGCCGACCACCCCCTCCTAGTACCAACCTTGCCACATCGAACCCGCAATTCTTCTTGTAACTCAAACCAGATCTAAAAGCCTAATCAATCCAATCTCCATTCCCATCGAAGCAATCACATATGTAGAGACCAAATCAACGTAGAAAGGAGAAGAATAAGAGTTAGGTCTGTCAACAATGGTTGTCTTCTCCAAAGCTCGAGACGTCATCTCCGTACCATAGCCGCCGCCATTGTCGAACACTAGCTGCCGCCGTCATTTTTTACTGAATCCTTGCCACCATCTTTGAAGGAGAGGTCGTGTCGGAGAATAAGAACGACGTGGATGATGGTCGTACGCAAAGAAGGTGCAGAGAGATCGACGGAGAGAGAAGCAGAGAGAAGGCGCACAGAGAGATGGTGTCATCCGTTGGTTGCGTTAGGTAGACGCCGATCGAAGGAGAAGAAGTCGGATTCGGAGCCTCTGCCTTGCTTTAGAGCAAGGTAGAGTGCCTTGCTTCCGGACAACCGTCCGACCGCAAGATCAATGACCGTAGATCTTGGGGTCCACACTTTCGCTGATCTCGAGGTCGTCCTCGCCGCTGCCCGACCATCTGATGCGCAAGGCACCCTCCAAGGCACCCTCCTAGTCAGGCAGAGGAACCCAATCTGAAGAAGTCTTAGTAAACGGGAATGATTTAGATTTGGGTTTGAGAGCTGTGGGTCACTTTTTGTCTAAATTTAAAATGGTTATATATATTTTCAAAACCTTACAACTAATATTTTTGTCATTATTTCAATTCCATTACTATTCTAGTCACTAGTTACATTTTTGTAAACGATCATTATTTTAGTCATAATATGTAATTATTTCTATTTAGTGGCTTGCAAACTTTTGAGATGAAAAGATCAAAAATAGATTTTTCAACTAACCTAAAAAGCCTTTCTCATCATCGTTCAATCATTTCACAATTTCAAGTATCAACAAACTCATTTTTTTAACAATTTATATTGATAACGTTTATTTATTGTTAGAGATATACTTATTAGAAAAGTGGCCTTTAAGAACATACATTTCCCATGTGATGTAGGGCCGGTCCTATATATTTTTGGGTCTATGAGTGAGATAATATTTTGGACTTATATTCAAGACTAATAATAAACTATACTTATTTAAAATAATAATTATAATAAAATTATCTAATAAAGGTCATTAAATTAAAAATGAAACTCATTTTATTATTATTATTTAAATTACATATTTGGTGAAAAGTAACAATACAAGTATCACATAAAAATTAAAACATTACTTAAAAATGTTTCTCACAGAATTTTCAAGATTCAATTTCTTAACCAAAACAAAATATTTCATTGATCCCTTCTAACTTAACCCTGTCTTTTCTAATCTTATCCCCTTTCTCTTTTTTATCCCAACCTGATTCACCAATTTTATCAAGAATAATTTATTGATATGGATTGTTTGAAGCCTTAAAAGAAGAAGTTTTTTGGTCACTGACCGCTGTTTGGCCTTCTCGATTGATCGGCTTCAATTTTTAACAAACCGCTGAGGCACTCACCGCTTTGCTGCATTCTTTATTCTTGTTGATATTAGAATTTGGAAACAACAAATCAATTTGGATAGGCTTTGCGAATTGGGAGTTTTGAACATGGGAGGCCTAACATAACATGGTAATTTTGCAATTAGAAGGATTATAAAAACTTAGAGATCTGAAGAGAATTAAGAACAGGTGTAGGCCTGTCAACGGGTCAGATACAGGCCGAATTGAAACTATAAGATTCCATATTCATATCAGTTAAGTAATTTTTTGTCAATATCCGGACCCATTTACCCTTCGGGTCCTAAACATATGTTCCAAATTTGGGTCCGGCGGGTCTCGGATCTAAGTCGGGTATACCTGCAAAAAAAACCAATTGACATATGCAAACAAATATTACAAATAGCAAAATTGTTGTACATATTGGAAGAGATAATATATAAATAAGCAAAATATTGTTCGCTTCCATTAGTCTATACATCCTCAAACTTAACAGAAACAAAATTTGAAACAAGAAAGGGATTAATATCAAGAGAACCTAGAGCCCTAAACTCATTAGGGGAAAAACCACTAACTAAGCCTACAATTATTAATACATTATTTTTTTATATTTGATTATTTTCCTTATCTTATGTTAAAATATTTTTATGCATATTGTGTGTGTATAAAATAAGGGAAAACTGTGAAATATGCCCTTGTA